ATTTTTTTAAGTGTTTGGCTTCCCATTCACCTCATAACCGAATAAAATTAAGCAATCTGCACGATGCTGAAGGATTAATGCAAGAAGTGGTTTGCCATGCAGATGCCAATTACTTCAACAGATCTACAATAAACAACTAAAACAAATATGTGTATACACTACTCTTCAAAAGTTTGGGGACAGCAAGATTTATAAAAAAAAAAAAGGGGAAAAAAAGAAATTAACATTTTATTCAGCAATGATGCATTGAATTGATAAAAAGAAATATTCATATTCATAACATCAAAAATAAATACTGTTTTTTTTTTTACTTTCTATTTATCAAGGAATTCAGAAAAAAAGTATCACGGTTTCCACAAAAATATTAAGCAGCGCAACTGTTTCCAACACTGAGAATAATAATGTAAAAATGTTTCTTGACTACAACAAATACAGCTTAGCCATTAAAGGAATTATTAACCTTTTAAATATATTAAAATAGAAAACTGTTATTTTAAATTGTAATAATATTTGTTTAAAAAAATTACTATCAGCCGACTGACCCCAAACTTTAAATACTACAATAAATGTTTATTTTACAATAAACATGCAAAATAAACAACTAAAAATGTTTTGTGAAAAACTTCTTGTAAGACTTACATGAGTTTCCAAAAATGTAGTTTTTATGAGTGATATAATCCAACTGCTCTTATTTTGTCTTCCTTCTTAATCAGTGCCATTAATACCACAATAAAGTCAGATTTCTTTCAGCACTATGCTCTTAATGTATAATTACAAAATTATTCTGCCACCATTAATTTAATTGCAACCTTCTGATTAGAGGCATTGCATAAGGACTTTAAAACAGCCTGCATGGGAGTGGCACATTGTGTGATATTACTATTATTCCAGTGTGTGTTTTTATGTGTTCAATCATTACCTGCTCTGTGCTTGCAGAGTAGACCATGACACCCCAAGGGTTGGGGAGAGCACTGCCCTGCAAGTTGAGGCACACATTCTCTCCGGGGCCCTCAGGATCCGAAAACAGACTCCAAGCACACCAACGCACACACTGCATAAACGCTGCTCTGGGCACAGCTGTGGATGTCATCTAACGAAATAGAGAGAGAAAGAAACAGAGAAAGAGACATTTCGCTCTCAGTTTGTCCCCGAATAGCATCACCTGAACTTTTAAGACATCAGAACAGGGTTTCACTCTTTAAATATGACTTACTTGGTTAGATGGATAAGTTAAAGTCATGATTGCTTGGCATAAACCAAGATTTGGGGTGTTTTTTTTTTTTTTGGCCTTCTTCCCACTATTATGAAGTACAGAAGAAAATATAAACTTTTTTTTCCAAAGAAACATACTACCAATTGGACAGTGATTTCTTATTTGTAAACAGTGCTGCCAGAAACACTTTCCAGAATCTAACATCAGCAGCTATAATCACACAGATAGGAAATATATAAACCTTACAACATGTACACACATATACACAAACTAAACAGATTAAATAAAATAAAGATGACTTATAAAATGAGAACGAGAGAAAAAAGATTGAGAACTGAGCCTCCCCTCGGCTTTGCTATGATCCCTTGGGATCAGGCATTAAAGCCAATCAATAAATGAGCTGGTCAGGCTCAGCTCACCGTAATTAATCATGATAGAAAAAGAGCGAGAGCGAGAGAGAGCGAGAGAGAGAGAGAGAGAGAGAGAGAGAGAGAGAGAGAGAATTACACAGCCATGTACACACATATACACAAACTAAACAGATTAAATAAAATAAAGATGACTTATAAAATGAGAACGAGAGAAAAAAGATTGAGAACTGAGCCTCCCCTCGGCTTTGCTATGATCCCTTGGGATCAGGCATTAAAGCCAATCAATAAATGAGCTGGTCAGGCTCAGCTCACCGTAATTAATCATGATAGAAAAAGAGCGAGAGCGAGAGAGAGCGAGAGAGAGAGAGAGAGAGAGAGAGAGAGAGAGAGAAGGAATTATTCAGCCCCCCTTTCTCTCACTGCCACCTCCCTCTGAGGTTTGATGTATCTGGCCAGTGATATATAGGCTGTATGGTAAATACTCTCCAGTTCAGCAAAGAGCGTTTATACAAGAGCTTCATCTCTCTCACAGAGATGTATTTTACACTTCACAGGGTGAGAGAGAGAGACATTGAGTGAGAGATTTATAATCACCTTTAGTGATAGGGACAACAGTCCCTCAGTCTCTCAGACCCACTATGGCACTATCAGCCTTGAGTACAAATGTCACAAATGAACTCAATTATGATCTTTCAAAAGAAACCTTGTTCTCACAGAAAGCACCGTCATTTCCTTTCACAACCACAGACAAGTGCACATCATCACAGTGCAGACAAAACTAAAATACAACGAAGAAAATACAACAATATGAATGACTGAAATGACTGAAATATTTATTTTATATACATTAAATATATTTAAATACTATATTTGATTACTACTAATATATTTACTGTTCAAAAATAACAATAGCAACATTATAAATATTTCATTTTATTTTCATATGAATTAATAATATATACTATAATTAATTATAATAACATTTAATAAATATAATGTAATATTACACATTTAAAAAATTGGGTGCCAAAGTCTAGGCCTCAGTGAAAGTCTGAGATTCAAAATATTGTTTTTAATGTACACTAATGTAAAAAAAAAAAAGAAGAAAAAAAAGAATAAGAATTTTTTTAAGACTGTGCTATTTCTAGGTTACTAATCAAATAAACCAAATTTGTGGTATTTATCATGTAAACTACTTTGAATAAACTGTCAGATGTTCTTGCTTCCAGCGAAGCTCAAGATGCTCTTTGGTTCATTCTCGAATCATGCTGAAGAACATGATCATCAACAACCTTGTGGAGCTGATGTAGCTCAAGTGCTGTCATTAAAGGTCCCATATTGTACATATTGTACATATATTGTTTTATTTTAGGTTTTGATGTCCTTAAGAATATATATTTGCAGTATAAGTACCAAAACCATCTCAATATATTTTTACAGCTCCTTTCTCAGGAGCTCTGCTGAGAACAGGTCGATTTTGGTCTGTCTAATTAATATTCATGAGCCTCTCTTCTGATTGGCCTGTTGTTTTCTGAGTGACGCACGGCCAGGCCAACCACAGAAAAACTAGGGTCAGCCGACGTCACAGCACTAGCTGGAGACAGCAAAACAAAGGGAAACTGGAGGCGGCCCATTCAAACTAGTGATGGGAAGTTCGGATCATTTTACCGACTCTGACTTTTGAGTCTCGTTCAGCAAAATGAACGAATTTTTTTCGAGTCATTTCGTTCATTTTAGCAAAATATAATTAAAATGTTATGTGTTACTTCCCTAACACGTCTACTACTTACGCAAACGTTGATCACACTACAAACAATACAAAACTACTATAAGAAACAGAAAAGATTCATTCATTGTTTACCTGGGTCTTCAGTCTATGATTAGCTTACCGCACCTCTTATCTGACAAGTCTTCGGGTTTGGATTTATGGGGCTGTCACGTGATGAACAAACGACTCAAACCCGAAGACTCGAGAGATGAACTAATCAATTCTCTTTCCGG